ACTGCCTTTGCTTTGCGGATGATTACGAAGCCTTACAGCTGTTAAGAGATTTGGTAAAGACAGATGGATTCCTAGGAGGTGTTGCAGAAGCTGGGCACTGGAAGACCAGGCCCTCTCCCAGCTTCTGGGCGACCAGTTTTGTGGCACAGCAACAGTAGTCCTTGATTTGGGGTGCTGCCTGGTGAGCACAGGGGCGACCTTTAAGTAGTGGAGCCCGTGTTGGGCCGGCGGGAGACACCGGGATCCCAGAGCTGCGATGCTGTGTGTGTCCCGTGGCATCTCTGGACCGTAACACTCTCATTGGTGTAATGAGAGCTCACGGCATCATCTCTCACGCTGTTACATTCTCTTGTTCATACCTCCTCCTGTTATGACTGATTTCTTCAATGTGTATCTATCTGTAGCCCCCGAAGGCCCATGGTAGTGATTCTTAGCTTCTTAGGTGATGTATGTTTTTTTCTTATCTTAATGGGTGTCTATGAAGCTCTTTACAACATTAATTTAAATTGATACCTTTTTTTATACTTCCTAGAAGGTATGTGTCTGGGAAGAGCATTTGCAGATGTAGACTTGAGGAAATAACAGGTCAACCTTCTGCACAATAGTGTTTCTCCATTACATCAGCATCAGTGCATTTTACGTTTTCAGTGATTTTAGAAGGGGTTCAAAGCAAGGCCTAAGTCACTCTTGTCTTGTTTCTGGCTCATATTTTAAAAAGGGGGTGGGAGTGGGGAGGGAGCAGAAGAAGCCGCCCAGGTATAACGTGTATGCAGGTGTTGTATGCAACTCCATTGGGGATGCAGATGGTGCCACAAGCAGCGGCTTAACCCTAGCCGGCCTTTGTTTTTTCCAACTGTTGCTCAAAGGGCGCGTATTAACTTCTTTAGGAACAAAAAGCAGCTTCTACGGTAAAAGGAAAAAATCCACACAGACTGTCAACACTTTTCGTCAGAAACGGGGCAGGCGGGGTACCCAAGCTGGCCGAGGACAGAGCAGCCCGTCCCGGGGGGTGGGGGGGACGCTGGGGCGTTCCCCTGAACCCGGCTTCCCGCTCAGCCCCGCGGGACCTTCCGTGAGGAAGCCAGCCGCCCAGCCGCCCAGCCGCCCTGCCGCCCAGCCGCCCTGCCGCCCAGCCGCCCTGCCACCCAGCCGCCCTGCCGCCCTGGCTGGCACCGGCACAGCGTCCCGGGCAGAGGTCAGTTGAGGACTCGTGGCAGGCGGCCGGAAGAGGCGTGGCCCCGAGGAAGAGGCGGGGCCCCGAGGGTGGTGCTCGCGCGCGGGTTGGCTGCGGCGCGCGGCGCACGCGTCGGCCAGGCTGCGCCACGTCCCGCCCCGGGCCGCTCGGCACGCCGCGTTCACGTGCCGCCGCGCGCTGTCCCAGTCTGCCCCGCGGCGGCTGCGGCGGCTCGTGGACGCTGCGTGGACCCCGTGCGCCCCTGCCGTGCGCCCTGCAGCTCTGGGCTGTCCGCTCCCCGCCTCCCCGGGCTTGGCACAGTGTGCTTTTCCGAGAAGCACGGGGAGCGACTGTGCTTTGTAAATATGCCAGAGGGGCTGTAGGTCGGGCAGGTGTTTTCGCAGAAACCCCGGCGTTGGGTTGGGTGGGGTGCGGACGACCCTACACAGCGCCTGGAAGGAAACAGGTGGTGACGGGTTCTTTGTTTTCTAAGGCTTCAGTTTGGGAGATTGCCTAAGAGTACACAGTGTTGAGACGCCAACCGTTTGGCAGAGCGCGTGTGCCGAACCCATGGCCTGTGGACGTCCTGTTCTGTAGGATGTCCGTACAAACAAACCTTCCTAGGCCCCAGCGCCCCGGCATTGTCGTCTGGCTCTTCCTTAGGCTCGGAGATGAATTTGGGGAGAGAAGCTTAGCGCTGAGGGAATGTCTCCTGAGGCGTGGGTGAGGAACTAAGGGTTGTTTAACCAGAGGAGGCAGGACTCGGGGCCGCGTGACCCTTTCCTGCAAGGATCTGAGACTTAAGTAAACAAGACCTTAGACTGGGCGCTGCACCGCCTCAGGGAGTAACAAAGAGAGGCTGCGAAGCAGCAGGCAGCCTTTGTGGAGTTTTTGTTTTCAGGAACCCAGGACAGCTAAGGAGTTGCCCTGTATTGGAGCACTGAAGCTAAGATAGTTTTCTCTAGGGACTTCTACAGCCCTCACCTTTTTGCAAAGCATCTGTGTTCATGGAATGGGTTGCTCTGTGAACAATAATATTGCCAGAGGATCTGGCTTCTGCATTGGTACACTACTTGGAAGTAGAACTTTCCTCCAGTCTTGTTCAGGTATTGGTGACCCACTAATAAATGTGATGAGAAGTCCTCCAGGGATGTTGTGGGGTAGGGTTATTCGTAAGTCGCCAGCAGTCAGCTTTTTAGTAATGTACCATTTTTTGAAAAGATTTTAAGATTTATTTCTTTTTGTTGGAAAGGCGGATTAACAGAGAGGAGGAGAGGCAGAGGAAGATCTTCTGTCTGATGGTTCACTCCCCAAGTGACCGCAACGGCTGCAGCTGAGCCAATCTGAAGCCAGGAGCCAGGAGCTCTTCTGGGTCTCCCACACAGGTGCAGAGTCCCAAGGCTTTGGGCAGTCCTAGACTGCTTTCCCAGGCCACAAGCAAGGAGCTGGATGGGAAGAAGGGCCACCGGGATTAGAACCTGCGACCATATAGGATCTCAACACGTGCAAGGCGAGGCACCAGGCCCTTAAGATTTATTTTTATTGGACAGTCAGATATACAGAGAGGAGGAGAGAGAGGAAGATTTTCCATCCATTGATTTCACTCCCCAAGTGGCTGCAACTGCTGCAGCTGAGCAGATCTGAAGCCAGGAGCCCGAGCCTCTTCCAGGTCTCCCATGTGGGTGCCGGGTCCCAAGGTTCCAAGGCTTCAGGCCGTCCCCTACTGCTTTCCTAGGCCACAAACAGGGAGCTGGATGGGAAGCGGGGCCGCTAGAATTAGAACCGGTTTCCATATGGGATCCCGGTGTTTGGGAGGAGAGGATTTTAGCTGCTAGGCTACTGTGCTGGACCCAGTGTACCATTCTGATGCATTGTCCCCAATGTGACTTAAAGAATCCTGACCTTGAGTTTAACACATGTGGTCACGGGATCTCACTGTCCTCCGTCTTTGCCACATACAAACAGTGTTTCTTGCCTTCAGATCTTACACTGGTCTCCCTGGGTGCTACTGTCTGTTTCAGACAGAGTTAGAAGTGGGCCCCCTAAGGGAAGAGGTGAGGACTGGGGGAGGAGCTTTAACTGGAATTCGTTTCAGCAAGGCTAGATAGCTAGATAGAGTATGAGGAAAGTCAGGTGGGAAGTTGTCTGGCCTGATCTAGCCCGGCAGCGGCTCCATGTGTGACATTGCAGACTTGGTTAGACAGTGTGTAATACAGGCTGCCTCCTCGGAGGCCTTGGGTTTGCCTTAATCCTACTTTCTGAAGACAGGAGTGCTGTGGGAGACACTGTGTCCCCATTTATTAAATTCTCAAATATATAACATCTCTTGGAGGGAGGTAGTGTTTTAGAGTATACGGAGGGCGTATCTCCTTCTTGAATCTCTCGCTGAACCTGGTTACAATTTCTTCCTTTTAAAATCAAGAACAGACTTCTCTGTCACTCTGTCAAATGTTAAAAATGTCTCCTAAATTATTCACCCTTACCCTCCTTGGAGTCCATTCTTCTCTGCCATCACAATGTAAAAGAAGTAGATCTAGCAAATCCAGTTCTAGGCAAGAGTGTAGAGTGAAATGGTGTTTCTTCTATTTGCTTCCTTCAAGCTGCTTTCTCTCCTTGGGAAGTCACTGGCTTCTCTGTCAACTCAGATCCCTGATTTGAACTCTTTGAATGGCAGACTGTAGCTCATTTTACCTTTTAAGTGATCGTAGGACCTTTAACTGAAGGGATGGCTTTTTATGAAAAATATCTTTGAGAGGGTGAGTACCCCCATCTCTTGCTTCACTTCCCATTTGCCTGCAGATAGACCATGCCAGGGCCAAAGGTTGGAGACACTCAACCCAAATCTGCCCAAGGGGCTGCGATTATTAGAGCTATCACTGCATTAGCAGGGAGCCAGAGTCAGGTGGAGCCTGGGACTGAACTCCGGCACTCTGTTGGGATGCAGGTGTCTTAAGCTCCTAGGCCAAAAACCTGGCCCTCAGTGGTAGTATCTAATGATGGATTTGGGGCATTAATTTAGGGCTAGGGAAGGAACCTAGGTTAAGTCACATTGTATTCTTACTGTCCTAGCATGCCCCACCCTCCATATTGATATTTTCAAACAAAAGGGTGGCACAGGTTGGGGCACCTGTGGATATGGTGAGAAGCTTCTGCGGTATTGAGAGCTTTTGAAGACGAGTCATGGAATCCTCCACTTGTGGCCACTCACTGAGCTGCGGCCATGGTTGCTTACCCCAACCATTCTCTTCCTGAATTCATGAGTCATCATGAGGTGTACTGCCTTGGCCATAATTTAGAGTATGGGGATTCCTGCAGTAAGCTGTAACCTAGACTGCTATCAACTAGGAATCCAGGTGAGAGGCAGAATGATGCAACCTTAAGCCTGGGCTCTGGAGGCAGACTTGCTGGGCTGCACCCCTGAGGAGCTGTGTAATCTGCGAAGCTCTTGTAAATCTCTCTGTGTTTCAATTTCCTGTCTTGACCATCTCCAGGAGTTAATGAGAATTAAATGACATACTGAGCACAAGCCTGGTAGATGTTTAGTGCTTCCTCTACAACTAGTGTTACAGTTCCTGTCTTAAAGGAGCTCTCAATCCCTGCCTCCCTATCACCTGCCTGTGAGAGAGTGTAATGGGCCAGAAAGTAAAAGAATGGTTAGCCAGGCATCTACCGTTGCAACCAGGTGCTAACTGTACTTTATGGTCAACTTGGGCCCTTGCATGCAGGCCAGCCTGGAGAGAAGAAAAACACATTCTCCAGAGGTCCAACTTAGTATCCAAGAAATGTGCAAAAAAAAAAAAATGCATCCACCAATACAGGCTCCCTGAGTGGCTCCTGAAAGTTCTTCCCCACCCTCTGCCCCCAGCGAACCTATGAGGGCTTTTCCCCATTCTTTCTCATGGTGTTTGTTCCTTAGAAGAATGTAGTGATTTGTCTAGAGTCTGGGTCTGAATTTTGGTGAGCAGAAAACAGCTCAAAACTAGCCTACTAAGAAATTGTTGGGACGGAGTAGGAGGCTGGTATCAATAAATGCAGTATAGATCCATTCCTTCCCTATTCCCTCTCCCACTCCAAGAATGCTTTATTTTGATCCTGGGTCGCTGTGGCTATTCCTGAGGCCTTGGGACTGATCCTTAGGTAGGTGGAGATGAACTGGCTGCTGCTGATCTGTGGGAGCGGGAAGTGGTTGTTAGGGTCTGTTAGAGGGATTTGCAGATAATGCAGAATCTTTAGAAGTCATTTCACAAGACTTGGCACCCTCTAATGTTTACCCTGTGGGGTGAAACCCCAGCCACTGAGTCTTGTGTACGAAATTAGCAAGGAAATCTGAGACCCAAGAAAGCACTGACTCCTGCCATACTCCCAATTTTACGTCTTTATCATTTTTCTTTCTTGGATATGCATTTCTTCCAGCAATTCCTAACTATTTTTCGACTCTGGGTCAAGGCTGTTGAAGATCAGGGTATTGGCATTGCATGTGATCTGCACTCTGGAAAGACGTAACTTTTCCTATTATTCCCTATTTATAGTTACTGTAAATTAGTAACATTTTAGGACTCTTTCACATTGAACTTCTTGAACTTATGTGGTTACTTTGAAGTGGGGTGGACGTGCCTTAGGGCCCACCCTCTAGTTCTTTAATGAAGTGACCTTGGTTTGGCTTTTAAGCAAAAGAACCTTGTTTACCAGAACTCCAGAAATAGACTCTCATTCTGCAGGCAGGAGGTACAGAGGTGCAAACCTCCGGGAAAGGAGATGCATCGTCTTTAACGTAAGAGAGAAGTCTCACCTTCCAGACTCACCCCCAGCTCCCTGCCAGGAGTTACGATTTTTCTGTTGTCCTTCTAACAAATTCAGAAAGCCTACATTTAAAGTGGACCACATTTTTGAGCCACAAAGTAAATGGGAACCATTTATGGGGCAAGCAGCATACTGAGAACAAAAGTGCAGGGTGGGAATAGTATGCGGAGTGTGTAGTTGAATGGTGGAGTGGCTGGATGGGAGCAGGGAGAGATGTTTTGTGGCCCAGGGTGAGATGCTGAGTGGGGTGGAGCAGAGGAGAGCCCCTGCTTTCAGAAAAGCTAGGCGTTACAGAGCAGGACCCAGAATTCTGCACTGAGGATTCTCTTAATTCAGTAGCTGGGAAGGCAGGCAGTGCTTCAGGTCTCTCCTTGGGCCCCTGAGGATTCCTTTGAGAACAGGAAGGAAGTGCGAACACTGGTTTTTGTGTTAATTTTTTGTTTATGTGTTTATCATGGGCATTAAGTATTAGTGCAGCAGGATATGGATGTAATTTACAAATAAAGAACTGTTTTGCCAGAAGTGGTAGTTTGTGATCAGGAAATTTTGGAGGCCTTTGCTCAAAGCAATGGTGAGAGTTCGGGGAGAGCCTGTGCTTCCTAAGGTCAAATGTCTGGGAATTGTTTGATCATGTTCTGGTGCAGATTTTTATTCTGAAGCTTCCTTGGTTCTGCAGTTGGAAGGCTGACTCAGAGAACGTGAATTGGTGCTTTTCCCTTTTTTGCTGCCATACTCACTTGCAGTCTTCGTCATCAAGGGAAACCTAGAAACCACCAGCTGTCAGGGACAGATGCGCTGACGTCTGCTGCTGGAACACCGTGGTACCCGTGGTACCCGTGGTACAGTCAGAGGCTTCCGGGAGCCACTGCTCATTCACAGTCAGCTGGGTGGTGGTGGTAGAATCTGCAGAGGTCTGTTCCTCCTGGGGATGTGTCATGTGCTTCCTGTTGTCACTTAGCTTCTTGGTTCAGATGGCTTCAGCAGCCTACTTGGGAGGAGGGGAAGGTGCTGGAACAGCCAGTAAGAAGCCCTCTCCTGGGAGGAGAGGTGGGAGAGGCTGTCTCAGTGGAGCAGAGGAAGACAAGTCGGGAGTGCAGGTGAGGCTGACCTCCCACCACTCTGTGCTGGGCGGACTAGGATGCCTAGGATACCGTGTTGCCTTTCCTTGCCTTGGACTTGGCAAACCTGTCACACAGGTAATAGGATCACTGCTACTTTCAGAATCGTACAGATGTTCAGAAAGCACAGTTAAACAGGATTACCTTGGCTTTTAAGTTTTTATGTTTGTTGAGAGAGACATCTCCAATTCTCAAGTTCGTTTTCCAACCCAAATGCAAAAGTGAGTTGCGCCTCCTGGGGCCCCTATTCTTTTTAGCACTTTCCAAATGAGGAAGGAAACTAAGGCATCTACTGGTTTACTTGGCTTAACACAGCAGGGGCACATTTATTTCTGACTTTTTGCTCACTGTCCTATTTTGAGAGCTGGTCTGTTTTGACGGTCAGTGAGTAACTGGGCTTGAGTTTTTTGAGACATAAATTCTCATTTATGAAATAGATGTTTAGTGCATCTGGCACTGTTGAAGAATTCAGAGACAGACAAAACACTGCTCTTGGCTTGAAGCAGCTGTTTACCACACAGTTGAGTGCGTGGTTGGGGGAGGTCGCTGTGCCATGGGAGTCATGTGAGGGTCCCATTACCGGGAGAACGGGGGTCCCAGAAGGTTACCTGGAAGAGCACCCAAACCTAGCCCTGGCAAGTGAATAATGGCAGTAAGATAACCATTGAGGAGGGGCTGTTACCAGCCAAAGGGTTGGTGCACAGGCATCAGAAACCTGCAGCCAATCTGGGAGGTCTTAGAGGGAGTAGTTACTGGGGTAGGGAAGAATAGAACCAAAGTTTTAATTTGGGAAGATGAACTTGTTAGGGATGAACACAGCAGATTGGAGCTGCAGAGGCTAGGGGAAGGAGAAGGGAACTGATGACCCCTAGCCTGGGCTTTGAGAGGTTAAAGCTAAGTGACAATGACAGGGATGGGGAGGGTGTAGATCTCTACATGAGTCACGTTATGCAAGATAAGGTATGATGACTAAGATGTGTGGACCTAACTGGAGGGGCTTGTCAAGGTCGGTTATGGCACAGAGGGCCTGTACTGCTGGACTTGACCCCAAGCCCATGTTTTTTCTTCATCTGGTGAGTAAGGGAGTGGGATCTTAGTGACTCATTCTGGTGTCCTAGCAGACTAGCTGGTTACAGGGGGAATTAAAAAGGTTCATGGCTGACACTGGTATTATGGCATAATGGGTTATCCACAACTTGTGTTGGGAACATCTCATATGAGCACCTGTTAATATGCCTGGCAAGGCCACAGCGAACAGCCCAAGTACTTGGGTCACTGTCACTCATGTGGGAGATTTGAGTGGAGTTCCAGGCTTGTGGCATTGCTTTGGTCCAGGCCTGGCTGGTGGAGTCACTGAGGACTGAATCAAAAGATGAAAGATCTTTCTGCCTCTCTCTGTAACTGTTTTTCAAATAAGTAAATAAACCTTTGTTTTCTTTTTAATAGAAAGAGGTTCATGGAAAATGTGTATTATGAAAAAAACTATGAATGTTGATTTTTTTTGGCATTGAGCATCTTTTTTCATGAACTTTCTTTTTAAAAAAGATTTGTTTATTTTTATTGGAAGGTCAGATTTATACAGAAGGAGAGACTGAGAGAAAGATCTTCCATCTGCTGGTTTACCTCCCAGGTGACCACAATGGCCAGACCTAAGCCCATCTGGAACCAGCAATCTGGAGCTTCTTCTGGGTCTCCCACACGGGTGCAGGGTGCAAAGACCCAAGGCTTTGGGCCATCCTCTACTTTTTTCCCAGGGCACAAACAGGGAGCTGGAAGGGAAGTGGAGTAGCTGAGATCTGAACTGGCACCCATACTAGATCCTGATGCATGCAAGGCAAAGATTTAATCACTATGCTGTCGCACCGGGCCCTCCGTGAATTTTTTAAAGTCACCTCAGACATCATCCCACTGTCTCAGGCCTGTTTACCAAATGAAACTGAGACCTTACCAACCTTTCACTGTGTGGCTGTTTGACTTGCTTTCTTCATCTAGGGCCAGAGTTCTTAGAAGGGTCACAGCCAGAAAACTATACGCAAGCTCCGTTCCCTTCCTGCCCTACTGTGGATCGCTGCACCTGCCAGGCAGGGACCCATGTCCTGCTCAGGCTTCTTGGGATGAGGGATTCTGCGGCTCTGGCAATTTCCCTGGACCTAGGGCTGCACGCAGCAACCCCCACCCAGGAGGCCAAGGCTGAGCAAGTCTTCCTCTGCTTTGGCACTGCCCTGCCTGCTGAGGCCCACTGACTAGGGCCAGATCCCGGGATCCAGCTGACTAGGGATGGACTGCCTCCTTTGCATGCACCAAGGAGTGGCGAAGTGAGCTCTCCACATCCAGCACCAGATGCTGTATTTGGGCTTGGCTCAGTATCGGGGTTCCTCTGCTGCAGGTCTGCAGCTGATGATGGGGGACGCTCCTTGGAGGTGCTGGAAGCCGGCATCAGTATGTCTATTTTGTTTCTCCTGATGTTGATTTGTTCCCAGTGTCTACTCAAAACATTTTATCTTTTTATTTCCTGTGCACAAGGGAAATATCTCATTTGCTTTTTGAAAAGGTTCATTTGAAAGAGTTTACAGAGAGTAAGAGCTTCTTCCTGCTGGTTCTCTTCCCCAATGGTAGCAGCAGTCTGGGCTGGGCCTAAACCAGGAACCAGGAGCCTCATGTGGGTCTGCCATGTGGCTGCAGGGCCCTTGCACATGAACCATCTTCCACTGCTTTCCCAGCACATTAGCAGGGAGCTGAACTGAAAATGGAGCAGCCCAGATTTGGCCTGGCATATATATACGTTATCAGTGTCACAGGCTGCAGCTTCACTGGCCCTTAGCTCCCAGTCTTGCTCCTTTTCTTTTCTTTCTCTTTCTGTCAGAGCACTTTTGGGTACTTCAGGTACTCAGCAAGCTGGTGGGACAGTACAAGTTGTAACATATAGAGCACGTAGGATATGCCAAGCATCCTCTGAGCGTGCTTTAAAAAGTCCTTGAAGACTGTGACTGTTGCTCTCGAAGGCCTACACTATTGCAGCAATAACAGGGGAAGTTAGTGGAGGGTAGGGCAAATAGAGAAGGGGGAGAGGAATTCCCTGAGCCCGTGGAACTGTATTATAAAGATAAAATATATACATAAAAATTTTTTAAAAATTAAAAAACAAATGCTAAATACTAGGCTTTAATCCATGTTTCTGCATTTGGGAACTTTTGTTTCTATTATTCTTGAAAGTATTAGTATTTTATATTGCTATGTATCCTCTATTATTCATGTATATATTAGATTTTCATGAAATACTATAAACAGCAAAAAAAAAAAAAAAAGGCCTGTGTGCTAACCTGTGGTGCTGACACAAGGATGCCTGCCTCCCACGTGGGCGTGTTCTGCCTCTGTGTCAGATCCCTGCTACCATCCCCGGGAAGACAGCAGAGGATGTCTCAGAGCCTGAGTCCCTGCCTCCCACAGGAGAGACCAAGATGATATTCCTGGCTCCTGGCTTCAACATGGGCCACCCCTAGCTATTGAGTGCCGGTTCGAATCCCAGCTAGTCCACTTCCAGTTCAGCTGCCTGTTGATGCTCCTGGAAAAGCAGTAGAAGATGGTCCAAGTGTTTGGCCTCTTGCCCCCACATGGGAGACTCGGAAGAGGCTCCTGGCTTGAACCTGACCAAGCCCTACTTGTTGTGGCCATTTGGGGTGTGAACCAGTGGATGAAAGCTCGTTCTCCCTCTTTCAGTCCATCAACTTTGACTTTCAAATAAATAAATATTAAATATATATGTATGTATGTAAATCTTTTTTAAAAAAACTTGTAGAAAATGGAGTTAAGAGAAGGATTATACATTTTGAAATCTGCACCCAGTTTGGTGATGATGCATGTCCTTTTTGAAGGGCCCAATTACGTAGGCGCTCATTCAGCTGGCACAGTACGCTGTTCCGGCCTTCATCCCTGTTTTACACACAGTGCAGCTGCAGTATGGGCAGGAATGGACTGGCCCAGCACTGTGGCCTGTGGGTGTCAGAGCTAGGTCATGATGTTAGGCAGTCTGACCCCAGAGCCCTGGCTCTTAACTGGGAGAAAATTTTGTTTTTAAAAAAAGGGAAAAAATCCTTGAGGAGAAAGAAGACAAACAAAGCCAACCTAAAAAGCATAGCACGAAAATGCAACTGTACATTTTATGATAGTCATAATAGGCTGTCCAGATGGATATGCATACGGAAAGCTAATTAACTTCCTCAGTCATCTAAGAAATGCTCAAGCCATAGCAGGGCGCCTAGGATACACCTGTTTATAGAGTAGCTAACAAGAAAAGGACTCAGTGTTGGTGGAGTGCTGTAAGATTGCTGGTACTGGAATTATAATCAATACAATCGCTGTGGGAAACGATTTGACAGCATTTACTAAAGTTGAGCGCATGCATCCACTGTGTGGCCCTCCGGCTGTCAGGATGTGCTCTGAAGGCCTGCAGGGTAGCATTTGTGGTGCTGCTGCATGTCGAGCCTCACAATGTGAAATGGAATGGAATAACAATACTGGGCCAACATGAAAAACAGACTGTTGCTGTAAAAGGTGATGTTTAAGATGCTTAATGGCAAAATAGTGAATGAAACCAGACCCAATAGTGAAACCCGACTAATGCCAAATTCAAAAACCTGCAGCTCATCCACACTGTGAGAAGTCAGATACTGGTTCTGTGGGGATGGTGACAGAGGGAGCAAATGGGGGGAGGGAACAGAGGGAGGAGGGGTATGTTTGCACAGGTGCGCCTACTTTGGGGAATTACTGTGTGTTATATTTGCATGTGTGCTAAACTTGAGCAATACATACATATAATTATATAAAATTATACATATATATGTATATATATACACACATGAAGCAACTAACATTTCCCTGAATTCACCGTCTGGAAACCCAATGATTGAGACTAGATAGTGTTTTTGTTTGTTTTGTTTTATTTTTTAAAGACTTATTTATTTTTATTGGAAAGTCAGATTTACAGAGAGAAGAGATAGAAGAATCTGCCAACCGCTGCTTCACTTCCCAAGCAGCCATAACAGCTGGAGCTGAGCCAATCCGAAGCCAGGAGTCAGGAG